AAGTTATACAGAGGTTTCCGATTTTTACGTCGTAACACTGACGACGTACTTCAGCATCGCTGACTAACAAGTACACAGATACAACTTAGCCGATCATGTGATCGGGATCACAATCCACAAACACAGTTATAAACGGAACTACACAGCACAGCAATCATATGAAACTCAACAAAATGCATTAGTAGCATTGCTAAAAACCGTACGGGAGGCTCACTAGCTCTCTTCTTTCTCCTCAGACAAGATTTCTCGACGTGTCTTCTTTCGCACTCCGGCGGCCTTGGGGGCACGGCGCAGAACGACACGCTTACCTAGGTGACTCGGAATTGACGCGCCACATTCGAAGTCGCCGTGCCACACTTGAAAACACGTTGTATCCGTGCCTCTGCGCGCCTTGGGACAGAGGAAGCACTTTGCATCACCCTGCGAGCAGTCTTCACAGTAGTAAGTAGTCTGGTAGCTCTTCTTCTGCTCACCTCGATAGAGGGAGCACACCTTGCAAGAGCGCTGGCGCCGCTTCTGAACGCCCGATACAATCACCCAATCATCAAGCTGCTTGTGTACGTGGGAAGCGTTGCGGCGGCGCTTTGGCGCGCTTGGAGACGGTGATGGCGCTGCTGTTTTGAAGTCTTCGTCCGTGAGCTGCGTGAGCTGCTTGTGCAGCAACTTGTACCAGTCCACGCGCTTCATTGGGGCGACGCCGTCGAGGCGACAGGCCTCCTTGTGTGTGATGTATGCGTTTACAAGCGCTAAGTCAAACAGACCTAAGAATAGACCCTTATAGTACTTTCGGAACCTGAAAGAAGTCTGGACGGAGAACGTTTGAAGGCGGAGTTGATCATGCACATCAACTCCGCCCATCCAGCGCTGGTAATCGGTCACCAGTTTGGGACAGCTGAACGTCGACTGCCCCACCGTCTTCAGGTTTCTCTTGATGGTATCTTCGGCCATTGACACCCCAGTGGCCAGGTAGTGCACAGGCTTGCGGTCCCACCAGTGGCATGCAACCATGGTGGGCACCGCAACCGACCTTGAGTACGTGAATGACCCGCGCTCTACTGTGGTTGGTCGTGTTTTCCTTCGCTCAACGACGTGCTTGTCGAATCCCAGCCTTGACGTCATGATTGTTCCAATCATGTAGACCGACATCGAAAGTAGTTGAATGGCGAGAGCAACGGAGGTGTAGAATCTGTCGACAACAATGACACGAAATCCGGGGTCGTTCTCATCCAACACAGCCTTCAAATTTCGAATTACAGCGGCTGCTCCTGTCTTGTGGTCAAACGCCTGACTTGCACTTTCATGGTTTTGACGCTTCCCTACATATATCTCGAATCTAAAGTCGTAAGTGACAACATAATGCAAATGTCAGACCATCAAGTCATAACTTACGACTTTGCAACATTTATAAAAAAAATACGCACCTGTGGCAGTAAGCAGACACTGCGTCGCACGTCATAAACATCTTGGTGCCATAACGGTGCGGCTTGTCCGGCATAAACATACGGGTACTGTTACGCTTGGACGTTTGAGGAAGTACACCTTCGTCGAAAGAGATGATTGCAGCCACTATCCACGCAGCTAGGAATGTCATTTGAAGTACGTCAACAACAGCTCGCAGTTTCCACAACTTGTCTCTCTTGTCAGCTGTATCATTGTTGCAGAAATGTAGATCTCGTAGGATAGAAGTACAGCGATTTCGAGAAATGAAATTGCCAAACCGTCCCGCCGAAAGCGCGCCATCATCGGTCATAGCCCAGTGATCTGAAAACGGACGGGTAGGGCTGAGCATATGAGCTACAAGTAGACCCATGACACAAAGAATCTCGCGCGGTACGTAATCAGGTTCGACTCGTATGCGGCGGCGAACATCCCGTAGCGTTTGACCTGGTACGCTGCGTCCTTCACGAACGAGACGTGCACGCTCTTGGCGCGCCTTTTCCTCGAGGTGTGACCTTTTGTATCTGTTTGTCTCGCTCGTGATGAATGTCCACAGGTTCACCGGCATAAAATAGAATAGCAATTCCAATGGAGAATCCTTTTTAGCACGAAGGGCTTCCACAGGCCTAGCCGCTTGATCCTTCATATCTTTGAACGCGCTATTGTCGGTTTCATACTCGGAGGATGCAGGAGTCCACGCCATCGAACGAAGTGTAATCTGGTTCATGTCTTCGATAGATAGAGAACCCCCCCAAGCAATCAATAAATGCTGCATCCATAAGAGGCGCCTCTTCTTCGTCAGATGACACGTCGTCACCAATTTGTCTTTGAACAATATCACTATCATCATCTGATCCAAAGCCATCCGACTCCGAGTCCATGCTCTCATACTCGTCTGCATTGTCCTCGTCCTTCATGATGTTCACGTCCTCTTGTAGCAAGCCACGATCTTCTCTCGAGTTTGTTCGCTCATCGTTTCGTCTCGAGTTTGTTGGTGTCACAGGCTCGACAACAGCACCATTTTGACCGGCGCATAGTGACAGCGCTACATCAGGTTCATCACCGCTCATAGCTCCACAAAATATCTCGTCTATGGTGCTTGCTGCAAGCGCAATACTTGTGTCTATCTGTGACGCCCTTGAGCTCTCATCCTCTATGTGCGGACTTGTGGCGCATAGCGGAAGTTCTGCAGGTGTCTCGCTGTCCTCGCTATCGGATCCAAACAATGCTTCAACGGTGTTCGCTGAGAGAGCAACACTCGTGTCTATCTGAGACGGTGTTACCCTCTCACACTCTGCAGGAACTTCTGGCTCACCTTCTTCACTCTCGTCGTCTCTGTCGTCGCCTGCACCTCCCTCGTCAGCGCCAATGATGCCCTGTTCAAACGCATACTTTACTACCGCATGTTCTCCTTCGCATACACAGCACAGAGCACGTATTAGACACACTCACAATAGACTAACCACATCAGACTTACCGACAAACATGTTCACGCCCTCGATGTGTAGCTCCTTTGCAGCGTTCGGTGGGTAGTACGAGTGCAAATTGGACAGCCGCGTTGGCCTCTTTGACGTCCATCCGACACGCACGAGCTGACGCCATAGATGACCAAAATCCACATCTCGCACGTCGATTCCTGAGAGCGCCTCTGCTTGAGCTTTTGACCGCTTGCTTGTTCTGACCGGCATCTTTGCTTGAGCCCGCAAATTCTGTACTGGTGGAGAACATCCACCGTCCACCAAACGTACGGTCCCCAGATAGTGGGACAGTGAATCCACCTACAGCCTTTTTCTCCCCTGTCGCCCACTACCTTTCCAAGCTTATATTTTTTTTGCAGAGAAACAGACTTGATTAAAGTATGTGATCGTCGCATCTGAGCCATTTCCTGTTTATCTTGACAGTTAAGTCGTAACTTACGACTTAAGGTTTTCACTACGTCGTAAGTTACGACGTTGGTAACCAAGGGGTTAAACGAGGCGGTTAATTCCTAACCGCATGTTTTCACTACTGTAGTTTTCCCTCACGAATCTTGAGTCACAATCGCGATCTTAGTAATACGGATCAGCGTTGAAGCTCTCGACGGCAACACTACCGATATGAGAGCCCTCAACCTATCTACAAAGATTTCTTCATTAAAACACATGCAACCGTTGCTTTGGATTACATAAATAAGTTTAGGTTTTATGACACACTATAGACGGATCTGTGATTGAAAAAATACGTTTTTAAAAATATATGTCTAGTTTACTTTATGTAAGGTTATTACTTTGAAGTACATGTAAACCTGTACACCCTTCACTCTGTGCTTCGTGTATTCGCGCTCTACACTCCCAGCCAAAATTATACGAACACACCGAAAAGACGCCGTAGCTCTGGGGTTTTTGGCAAGTACCAGTTTACTGTACTGACGTCACAAATTGATCAGGATAGATCTTGACGACAGCTTTATTTTACCTATCAAAACTCGAAAAGAAAACAGCGCCCAATTAAAAAAAAACTGTAATTAATAATTTTATTAGTACTTGAAATTGGATCGGTAGGTTTCGCAAAACGGGCAACTGAAATCCCGATCAGACTACTTGTAATTTGAGTGGAAAAAAAATCACCAACTAGAGCTTTGCGGCAAGTGTTCTAATGCATTTTCAGACGAAAGTGTAAATGGTAATTTCTGTCGAATTGAATAAAAGTGAAGCGCCTGATCGAACACTCCAAGTAAGGAAGAAGTGCCTTTACCTACGAATGGGCTAAGTGGTTTTATATCGCTGCACCCCCCCCCCTTCTGCTGCAAGCAGCACACCCAGACTACGAATAAAATCTAGGCTCATTGGTTCTCCTACACTTCAACATGAGCTGTTGCCAATTTCTCATCTGTCATTCAGACGGTCGTACGGGTACACAGTATTAATGGCGGCGATCATTTGCGCACTGCTGGATGCCCCCTTCGTTCAAACAAAAGAAAAGTGTTTTCAGATCGGCCAGATTAAATCGACCATTTCTCGTGAGAAGTTCGTAAAGGCCATGCTGGCAATAAGGAAACAGTAGCAATACGCGTTGAAAAGAGGTGGAAAACAGCTTTAAGAAAAGAAAAAGAAAGCATTTCTTCTCTCAATCTCCGACATTGTCCAGTAATACTGAATTAGTATCGATGTCGCCATTCACTGAATCATTCACTGAATGATAATGGCATTTAGAGCCCCATCCTACGCAACCTCACGATAGGTTCATTCAGATGAAGCCAGTAGAAATGTACCCATCGTCGACCTCTTTGGGTTGATTTGAGGCTGCATGCAGTCAAACGCCCCTTCCTTCATTTCTAATCCAGTGCCGCAAACAATACAGAAAGAATGAACACGACGCTGATCGTTGCAGTGCTTAGCTGTATGACGCTTGCTCTGGCCCCAGCAGCGATCACCGCAGAGCGCCAGCTTCGAACCGAAGACGCAACAACTCTTCCGTCTCCACTGGATGCGTCCAAGGCTGCAATTGCAAAGTTCGAGAAGAAGCCTGCAAGAAATTTGCTGAGGCTATGAAAAGGTTGAAGAGGAATTAACATGCTCGGCGTGGGAAACAGCCAGAAAGCAACATTTACTCTTTTCCTAATCTTTCAAATGTCAAAATTCACTTTGATGCAAGCTAAAATTCGCATCGGTGGCTCCGTGTCGTTAGATAGCTCACTCGTTCTTTGTACAGGATCAGCAGCTTTCACTAGCTGTGATTGCGATGGGTTACTTTCCCGCACTGGCTGCCCAAGGCTCCTCACTCTCTTCAAATTCTTCTTCGTCCTGCACTGACTCATCAGCAACTTCGACGTTGCCAGGAGCCAAGAACAAGTGAGCACGGGACTGATCACGCACTTCTTCCTGTCGCTCATTGTGTGCCAGTAAATACGCCTCGCTCCCCATCTATAACCACGGCAGCAGTTAGTTATCTACCACATCATAAAAAACCAGAAGGATAAATTACTTACCTCGAGTAGGCGAGACACCGTGCGATCGAACGCGAAGACCTCGTCGACATGTGATTTCATGTTTGCGTCGACTTGGTACAGTCGTTCGGGGCTTTCCGGTGCCAAACAATGCAGCTAATAGACAACAAGAAGGTAACAAAACTGTCAGCCTGCAACAAAAATTTAACAAAGTAGAAAATAAATAACTTACCCGCACACCCCGGTCATACATGCAGTCAACAAATGTAATAAATCGTCGCATCTGGTTCAGTTTCTCGGCGTTAAGCAGAGGAATGTCGCTCACAAACACAACGGAGAACGCTTCTGCAATCGCCAGATAATCTGCAGCTCCGAGAGGTTTATCGCACAAGTCTCGGAAGGAGAAGCGGCAAGCTCCAGCTTCCACGGCCGCCTCCAGTACATGCACCTTGCGTCCCTGCGTCGTCACATAGGTCGCCACTGTCTCCTCTCCCTTGCAATACGCCATGAACTCATAGTCAAACGCAGCGCGCGTGTCTGGAGTGATGGGATACTCGTACACGTTGTCAGCATGGACGGCACCTTTGAGCACGCGGTAGTCGGTGGTCGAGTCTTCGAGTGACACCACTTTGCAGCGTTCTCCCAGTAAGTCAATAAACGGCACAAATAGTTCTCGTTGCAGTCCGTTCTTGTACAACTCACTGGGTGGTCGATTGGATGTGGCGACCATAACGAATCCTCTGGCGAGCAAGGCCGAGAAGAGTCTCCTCAAGATCAGCGCGTCCGCCACGTCCGTCACTTGGAACTCGTCAAAGCACAACAGCCAGCTGTTCTCTAGCAACTCGTCTGCAATGTGAGGAATGGGATCTTCATGGAAACCCTGGCGTCGCAGCTCGTGCATCCGCTTGTGGATGTCCAACATGAACTCGTGGAAATGCACACGCAGCTTCTGCTCCACTGGAACGTTGTCGAAGAACATGTCCATTACGAAGGTCTTGCCGCAGCCTACACCGCCATAGAGGTACAAGCCCTTGGGTGCGTTAACTGGTTCCTGTTCAGTCTGTTGCTCTTTGCCTGTCAGCTTCTGCCACCACGAGCCGGAGGAGCTCGACGTGGACGCTTTAGGCTTGGGGCCGCCGTAGCTCATCACTTCGTCGTATAGTGCGTCCAAGTGGTGGACGACGTGTACCTGTACTGGGTCATACGTCACGTTGCCGCTGTCCGCTTGCTGCTTGTAGATGGCATGCAGCGTGTGTTGGCTGGGCGGGATAGACGTCCCCAAAGTGGAGCTCCACCGTGCAGACTGCAATGCATTCGGTTGCCGCAGCGAGGCCACACCTCGAGCTGCTAGGCGGTGCATCTTACAAGGGAGACAGAAAGTCTAGAGATGCCGATGGTGAACGATGAGATAATACGCTCGAGGACGATGCGCATTTTCGTTGGCATCACGACGTCAGCCAATCAGAAGTTCTAATTCAGAAAGCACTTTCATTTTCGTATCCTACCATATAAACGTTAAATTTCAGATGTATTTCTTTGATATATTTCAGAATGTGATGTATTCTAGGATGCCACCTACAGCAGATTTCTATTGCATGAAGAATTATAAATAAAAGGCTATCATGTTATGGATTGCCGCTAAGAAACATTTAAATTCATCATCATTGTAAACGCATCTTTAACAGGGTAGAATAATATTCTATGTTTGGTCTCGACTGATAGTTTGAAACTATTAGTTTCTGCTAAGACCCGACTGCACCGACGGGTACCCGACTAGTCAAAAGCCAGTTTGCCCACCCTTTTTTCGCGACAGCGTATATCCGGATAACGGTATCTTAGCTAAGTCAAGCAAGCGCTTGTGTACCAGAGCATGCGAACTTCTACAAGTCTGAAAGAAGGTAAATGTATTATATTCGGTGAAGACACAAGCAAAGCTATCTATAGCGCAGATACATCAGCAGCTTCTTGTTCATCCACTGAGCTTCTACAACTCTGAAAGAAGGTAGATGTATTATTTTTAGTGAAGACACAAGCAAAGATATCTATAGCGCAGATACATCAGCAGCTTCTTGTTCATCCACCCGAGTGGTGGCGCACCTGTGAACTGTTCAAATGCAGGCAAAATAAACAGCCCGCACTTGTAGTTGTCCAATTGAATCCCCATGCCGGATTCGTACGCTTGCACTCGAAACCTTTCTCCCGTGGTTGTTGCTAGCATAGGTGTAAGTCGTTCTGCTACCACTCGAACGCTGGCCACGTAGCTTGATTTCATTGGGTATACACGATACGTTTTGCAATGTCGATCATAATAGCACATCAATGGTTCGATTTGCAGCTGATCGGTATGAGTACACACTCCCCAGTAATTGTCGACAGAATGCTCTCGACAGTCTCAGCATCCATTGAAATTTTCCTTCCCACAACCCACCCAAACAAATTTGGGATTATCACCACCACTCGCGGGTTGTTTGAGTATAGTTTTTCCAAAACTAGACTTAAGGTGGAATCGCTAAGATTTCCCCGTCCGACAAGATCTAATAGGTCAAACTAAAACGAATAAGTTATTATTGAGAACTATCATAAAAATATGGTAGGTGTCTTACCTCACTTGACTGTAGACGCGTGTTTTTTAGGCCTTTCAGCAGTCGTTTATCTTCTTCCACGATGAACCACGGGTCGATCTCAGTCCCAAATCAATAGTCGTAGCCCAGACAGTAGCTTTGTCAATCTGATCAATAGCATCCATCGCTCTGTGATAGTTCCTCATTGTAGTCAGTGCTCCAGCTGTAAACACACCAATACTTGGCACTTCAAGAAGCATATCCACCTCTCGGAGACCGTAGTTCTTCCCTTGGAAGGCCGCTAACTTCTTGCTGCACTTACGCAGCATATCTTTAGGAAGAATTCGCGATATATCTTCGTCTCTTAGTACCGTCTTCTTCCGTGATAGTTTGCTATTTTGGTGGGCGATTGGCTGCTTGGTTTGTTTTTTCTCCAAAACAGAACAGCGGTATTGGCATAGTGTCGTCTCTGCAGAATTGAGTGTGTGGTCTTCATGTAATAGGGCGGAGAGCACCGATAAATCCAGCTTCATGTGATGCATGTTTGAATCGTGGTGAGCTTTGGAGATTTCGCGATTCTTCTTGGCTTTCTTTGCGGATGCTTTCTGCTTTGGCCTACCCCGCGGTCGGACTGGACTTGCAATTTCAAAATCATCCGTAGTTTCAACTGGCTCTGTAGTGCTGTGAGTATTTAACAGCTGTACAACTGCGCTTGATGTTCCAGACTCAGTCGGTTGCAGCTCGTCCGTAGTCGGGCATAGGTGGGGCACAGTCGGGGCTGGTTTAACTCAGTCGAGGGAAGTATTGGATTCCCCGGCGGTTCATCTGTCACAGTTATTGGTTCTGGCAACGTAGTTGAGACTTCGTCGAGCTCCGGTGGCTCGAACTCAATCGGGAACTCGTCGGACTCAGTCGGGAACTCGTCAGACTCAGGCGGGGGCTGGTCGGGCTCCGGCGGGACCTCTTCAGCCTCGGGCGGGGGAGCATCAGATTGTAGCTGAGTCTGGACACATTGGGTGTCTGAAACTAAGCGATCAATTTCATGAAACCGTCGGTACTTGAAAAGTTCAGCGACATTATTCAACACTCGGAGAGCATCTCGGTACTCACGCATTTCCAGCCTGCTCATTGTACTCGTGATAGCGTTTGCGACTTGGTTAGCTTCGCGGAAATTGCGAATAGCATCCCAAGCATTTGGCTCGGGTCTAACAATCCGTCGTATGCGAAAAGCCTTATCGGGTATGGTGGGAACTGTAAATGATGCTCGTAATGTTGACAACAACCATCTCGGATGTAGCTGAGCCGGGATAATAGTCTCCTTTTTCAGCGCTTTGCGCAAGTATAACACGTGTCTTCAAGGAAGCAACCGTGTACTCATGAACATACACGAGCATCGCCAATTCCCCGTGTCCACATTGTACTCTTGATTGGGTTCGTCCAACGCATCGTCGTCGTGAGTCGTGTTCTTGATAAACATCACACCAGGAATTCCTTCGTAGAAACTGTATGTAGCACGCCCAACTGCATATGCGTACTGTTCAAAAATCAAATTGCAAGCGTGCTCGCTGACTAGATTTGATACGTACTGCAATTCTTTGTCGTGTGAGGCGTGGTGGATAACGCCAATCTTGAACATTCGATTTACATAATCTTTTTCTGCGAGCGATTGGTAGTACATCAAGGACGCTATACATTCGTCCAGCTGCATGAAAGAGTTCACGATCTTTAATTTGCTTCCACGAGGCCTCTAGACGATTGTTCGTGTTGTTTCCCAGCGTAACAGCGTTTTGGCGTTTGTAGGAGCACCATTTGCCCCTGCAATTATCCCAATTTCGCTTGAAATACGATTCGAAGGGATGCAGTCTCGCTTCTAGGTGATCCTCCTCCTCTTCATCTTCACGTTCAACCACACCGAAACTGCAACCGACAGGCTCTACACGAAGCCCGACTGCGTCTGCAGCGTGCCCGACTGAGTCGGTAGTGTTCCCGACTGGAGAACTATCTCGCTCGACGCCTCCCACAGTGATGACTTGGTGCATGTAACGTCGGTGCTTGTTGTACTCTCTCTCGCTTTTTGCATACACCAACGATACCTCTCAACTGTTCTTTCTGCCACGGATTAAACCCGTACTCGTCGGCCTTGGCGATCTCCTCGCATAGGTACTTAATTACGTGGAACTGGCAGAGTGGAATCTTGACCCCAGGGAAAGCCGCCTTCAGCACACTCATTTCGGTAAAGTCCTTGTCTATGATGACACACTGCAGCCGCTTCGTAGCAGGATTGTTCAATTCGAATTCTTCGATGGCTGCTTCCAGGGTTTCCTTCCGCTCATTCTGGACTAAGGCGTGCTGCACGTACTGCCCTTTACCAAATGTGTCATGAATCATGAAGGAAAATACCTTGTACTTCGGTACGTTTGTTCCGTGTGTAGCATCGATAAGTAAGACCTCCGAAAAACGATCGTACAGATACCGCATGTGTTTTGTCTGCATTGTTATGCACGTAGCAATTTTCTGAAACGACAAAAGGATAATAATCGGTGTTATGAGTAAATATCTGATCGATCATCGTTTACCTTGCTTTGTTGTGCCTCAACAAAAATTCTGCCCACGTTGCCGTTTTCTCCACAGAAATTCATCATCCACGCTTTCAAACGTTGAGCACTAGCTGTTGACTGGGTTGATTGATTCTTCAGCTTTCGTACCAGATTGTGTACATCCCTTATCGTCGGTGAACAGTCGTATTCTCAGTAATAAACTGGTGAATGCTCTTCTTTCCTGCACCGGCCTTTTGTAGAACCCCCACGGTTTGCAGAACACTCTCCCTTAACTGCTGTTCGGTTAATTGGGTAGTTTTGATACGTTGTCGAATCAACCAAGTGATTATGGGTCGTTCTCATCTTCGTAATACATACAACAAACTTGTGAGCTGATTTATCCACTTCTCCAACGCAGGCATTAATCTAAAAGACATTACAACGTTAGTGTGCTAGTATTATCCGCCAGCACCCGCCAGCACCCACTAGGACCCGCCAGTATCTGCCAGCACCCGCCAGTGGAAGGCTTACCTGTGTAGGACACTCGATCGAGCGAGACTCTTGACGTGCTCTCTTGCCCTTCCCACGCGGCTTGAACTTTCCGGCGTGGGTGCACACCAGCGTCTTGACGTACCATACCCATGTCTCCGGAAAAAGTGTAGGTTTAAAACCTGTACGCTGGATAACGGCGTTTCTTTCGCCAACCTTCTTGTTTGTTCGAGGTCTGAATACCTGGATATCAATAGGCTTGTTAGAGAAGGTCATATACTAAGCAGACCGAAGACACCTTACCTGGTACGTTTCCGCTTGGTATGTGCGGATATACGTGTCGAGCGCATCCCACGACTCGAAGACGGTGCGGCCAGGAAGGGGAGGAGTCGGATGCTGAGGAAGAAGGTCTTCCGTGTGGCTTGATTTGTCTGAATGCTCCGTCGAACTCGGCGTCGTGCCTAGCGCGAACTCGCTTCCGTCACTAGCGCTGTCTCGTCATCTACGTTGTAATCGCTGTCACTGTCCGATTCAGGGGGCACACGTTTCCGCGCCGACCGTCGCATTCGCTCCGCCGGGTTCATTTGCTTCCGTCGATCGGGGGGCGGGAATGCGTAATGAGTGGTTTGCATACACGTATACATACACGTATACGTCGTTCGGATAGCTGGGAGGTCCGGAGCGATTTGAGATAAGAGCGTTCGTAGAGCGTCCATTTTTTTTAAATCCTGAGGAGTCTCCACAGGCGGGGGTTCCAACCACTCTCTTGTACATTACTGCCGTAAC